GCTCTGCCCGTGCCCCGCTGCCTCAGCACCTGTAGCCAGCCAGAAGGTACCTCAGAGCACCGTGGGTTGTTATCTGGCACATCCCTGCTGCATCACCCCGTGCGTGTTTCCCGGTGTTTTGCTTATTTCTGTGATCACAGCAACACGCCTTTCCTTGTTCCATTTGTATTAAGAAAGTTGGTTGGAGCACGGTGCTAATAATTCTGAGGTTGTGGGTCTGATCCCCATATGGGCCATTCACTTAAGAGTTGGACTCAAGGAGCCTTGTGGGTCCCTTCCAGCTCAGAATATTTGGTGATTAAGGTGCTCCTTCTTAATGTATTACCAACTGAATCATGTCCCTTTCACTTTTGTTTCCATGCCTGTCATTACCTTCCTCATTGTTCAAGATGATGAAGGTTCTCAGCACCTTCTAAAGGCCCCCTGATAGGAACGTGTGAGTTAGTACTTCCTTGCATTGGAGTGATTACTATTGCATTTCAGATTGTGCCAGCTTTCAGTGTATTCATGTTCCATCATGGAAAAAATGTTCTTCTTCCTTCCCCTTCTGCAATTTTCTACTTAAGAGCATTAATGCATGGATACAATTATGCTAACATTAGGCAAATTTTGCTTTGAAAAGTCCTTGTAATTGAATGACAGATGCTTATGACTGAATCCATTTAAAAACTCAATGTAAGACTAAAGTTACTATTCAGGGACCTGCTTAGCATCCTGAGTACTCCTTGACTTTCAAGTGGAAATGGTGATTGGCACCACAGAGAGTTAGTTTGGAGTTTCCAGGTTAGAAACTATAGTATAATGCTGCAGTAATTCAGGTGGCACTTGCACTATATGTCTGGATGTAAATTAATCTGAAACTATGGTAGAATACAGATGAACAATAATTTTATGTAGTGTAACAGTTTTCTATTGATATTAGTATTTTATTACAGTATTTATAAAATGGAGAGCTATGTAGTTTTATTTAGAATGGCTACAGAAAACAAAATTGAGAAGCGTGTTTTTTCAACTTCGAAAATGATGCATCTTTATCTTGCTGAAGTTTTAAAGTATTTGTAAATATCATGTTACTTATATGTCTTCCCACAGTTAGAAAGACAAGGCAAATTTACTGTGCATATCTACTTAGTTACTTCAAACTCCAGTCTGTGCTCTGTTATGCCAGATCTAACTCAATTTCTTTATTTCTTCAGACAGTCAAGACTTTTGAAGGTGGGACACTTTCAGATGTGCCTAAAAGTTAGTGCTTTCTTCAAGGAGTAAACCAGCTAATTTATAAGGCATGTGGAAAAAGGTAGGGATCAGCTTTTATTTAATAGTTAGATCAAGACAAATTCCTCATAGAGGCCAGAGCTTCCCTTCTTAAACGTGGCACTTCTCAAAGCAGTAAGTGCCTATGTTTAGAAACTAATCCACTTTCTAAATTACATACACTTGATAATCTACTAACTTCTCAATATTCTGATTCTTCCAGTGCTCATTGACTTATAAGCCAGGTTCTCCTACACAAGGAGAAGAATTAGAGAAGCAGCAAATTTTGCATCTATAAGCCTTTGATATAGGCTGGGGATTTAAAGAAAATAAATCATAAACAGTAGGAGGGTTTTTTGCTGAACAATGAATTTGCAGCGCTGGAAAGTAGTAAATTTGCTAATACCGTACAAAACAATAAAGTGATGTTGATTAGAGACCAAACATAACATTGAATCCAAGTGACTTTAATATGTAATGTAGAATATGGTAACTAAAATATAATACATAAAGCATATGTACATCAGATATGACATATATGAAAAATAGTTAACAAAATATGTTAAATAGCATATAAATGCATGCATCTTAGTTACATAATAAACCATGTATGTACTGAAATTTTGTTAATCTGCTACTCAGATTTTAAAAGGTACCTGCTTCAGATTTCTTCCCTATTCTTGAACTTAACAAGTTTGCACAAAGCCTCTTTTTAGGTGTGTGTACACACTCATTATGCA